TGCTATGGAGTCGTTCGACGTTAGCGCGTTGTACACGAATGTATCCAATGACTCTGCATTGCAGGCCGTTTGTGAAAATCTGATAGAACATGAACAAGCCATAAGACTTTTTGGATTATCTATCGCGCAAATAATGGCCCTGTCAAAAGCGTGTCTAGAATGCAATATATTTAGGTGGTCAGGAAAATATTTCGCTCAAATTCGAGGATTGGCCATGGGTCAGCGATTGACTCCAACCCTAGCGGTAATTTTTATGGCCAAAATCGAGACACCCCTGTTGCAGTTGCATCCCCTGCTTTATTGCAGGTACATCGATGACTGCTTTATCATTTGCAACACACAGGCGGAAGTTGATGAGTGCTTCGAGTTGATGAACAAGCAATCAGAACACATAAGACTAACTCGGGAGAAACCCAACAACGCATGGCTGCCTTTTTTGAACGTTCAAGTCAGCATTGCTAGTGGCACCCAGAAAACGAAGTGGTTTCAAAAACCTAGTAACAAGAACATCCTTATCCACTTCCGCAGCACATCCTTTACAAACTAAAAAAGCTGTGATCAGAAACATGTTTCGCACGGTCGCGAGGGAAAGATGGAGTCACTAGCCGTTGCGCGTAGTATAGCTTCACTGAACGGTTATGACAACACCAGTCCAAAGCGCCGCTTCGCGGCGCTTTGGACTGGGTGTGTGTAAAGTGGGGTGTGCTTAAAAGCTTTGTAGCGCATCCTTTTCCAGAAAAATCGCAGTTATTTTTCGTGCGCGTGATAACTTTTTAGGATGAGAATGTTCCCAACCGCATACGTAATTTCTACTGCGAGTTATTTTTTCAGCAGAAAGATGGAAGAGATATTTCATGTCAAACTATATAGCAAGATAATGGCTTGTTATGAATGAGCTTAGAACATGCGATTCAGTTTAACAACGAAAATATATAGTTATAATAATTAATAAAAATCGAGAGATGAATGCAGGAGTAAAAAACAATGGTAACAAAATTTTCTGAATCATAGGTTTAGTTTCGTCGGCTTGCCTATAGATAGCAAACCAAATTTCAAGAAGATCGTGTTAAAGTGAACTTGTTATTAATACTGCAAGATGCCATGGAAATAATAAATTGAGCATATGATCGATAGAAGTTATAGAAGGCACAATTATATATTCGATCACTTGAAGAGTTTTGTGCAGACATAGTCATTCAAAATTTGTGAGTTATGACATAATCATGTTTCTCAAAAAGTTCACTGAGTATTTCTCAAAGTTTGTAGAATGTACCAAAAAGTTTCTAACAGGAATAAATAGAGCGTTAGGTAAGCGGAGTCAGACTGCTCCAATGTTTTGAACAGTGCCAAATACTTGTCGAGGTTTTGGTTTACAAAGTTTCGCACATCCACTGCTCTTTCGGGAGAACAAAATGAAGCTATCATGGATTAATATGAGCAGTTATTATTTTTGTTGGAAATTTAGTCATAGCCTGTGGATCTACGAACTCTTTTGAGCTTATCTAATAAGTTCTTTCATTTCGCCACCTTTCAAACAGTACTCAATTGTACAAAAAATTAGCGAAGTGCGTGATTAATGCGCGATCAAAATTCAACTCAATTCTCAGAAATCTCTTCAAACCAATTTACATAAAGGTAGGCCAGAGATCGGATCAGGACTGAATCAAAAATGCTTTCAAAATCGGGCAATTTTTCATACTATTGCATTAACCCGCTAATATTCAGCCACATACAACTTTTCTCATTTGACACATGCGGAGAGAACCTACAAAAATTGCACATCTTTAAGGGCATGCTAACCATGCATTACGATGGCGCTTTTCTCTTTGAAAGCAACTGAGGGTGATGAAGCGAGTTCTTTGCTTTTGGCAACATCATATTTTCATAAAGTCAATTGACTATCCAAGGGTTGGCCTGATTACTGTAAGTACATTTAAAAAGGCAATTGACTACTACTGTTTACTTCAAAAATTTTCATTCGTTGAGTTTTTTCTTATAAAATCATCGTGAGGAAATATTGTTATTCTGTTGATTCTCGCAGTGCTGCTCGAATACAACGACTAAAGAACATGATGGTTTGAAATAAATCATATGATATTTTAGGGATGACTGTAATGATAGTATGAGTGCGCGCATAGCAAAATCAGAAGTGCACATTCGTTTCATAGTACCTTCAAATAGCCTCACTGTAATAAGCACCAACAATGTGACGCTTGCACATTGGTGAAACTTAATGCTTTTTTACACAGGAGATTTTGAACGTCGAGGTCCTCTATTTTAGTGGTAGAAAGCTTTTCAATACCGTGCTGAGGAGAGTTGAGCTAGGTCGTGTTTTGGGTTTAGGCAGTGCACAGATAACATTTAGATCAGGCATAAATAGCGTCACTATTTACTCAAAATGAATGTGATCAGAGAAATGATTTTCGAAAGTCCTAAACTTTTGTACGAAGTGCTCAGAATACAAACAGGAAGAACGGTAGAGCATTCATGTGTGGAAATCCAATATAAAGTTTTGGAAGAGCAAGATATATGCAAGGAAGACAACAATAGTGAAATGTTAATACACATTTACTTATTTATTGATAAGATCCATTCTCTAAGTTGAGCAATGAAACTGTTTTATTTGAGATTGTGGAAGTTCCTTTCTAGTATTTGATTTTATCATCATTTACGCAACGAAAGTGAAGAAGCGAGAAGCGCTTTCAGATACTAATTCCTATCATTATTGCAACAGACCTCCAATCCAACTCAATTTTTGGTAGGAATTTCACACTCGAAATTTGGGAGTTGAATGGTAAAAATGCAAATCCTACCATTTAAAGAGCTACGTGAAATATAGACGGCACTTAGTCGAATAGCGTAAACGTCTTTGAAAGCATGACTTTTATGGATTTCGGTCAGCGAGTCTAAGAAGTAATAACGAATAGCTTTGATGATTAAATATATGCTTTTGTTACTGCATGAAGCTAAAACGTTTTTTTAGTCAATCCTGGCTAATTTCCCTGCAGAAAAATTCGAATGACAGTTTTTTTAAGCTGATCTATTTACACAAATGTCAGCTCGCAATGGTCGTACAACTGATGCTATTCCTCTTCTATCATCCTGTTTTTCGTATGAATTAGGTTTACGACAAAAAAGAAATAATATTTTCCTTTTTTCTTGCATAAAGAGAAAAATATTATAACAACATGGCATTAGATAATGTAATTCACAAACTGAGGATCATTGTGACCTACCTGTTTGCTGTTAATATCAAAATCTGTTGGTGTATTCTATGTGAAGCAGAATTGATGACTGACGAAACTGAACTGACCCGTCTTAGAATCTACAGTGTTGCCAGCATTTCATAGACTGCACTTACTTCGATAAACCGTAAACATATCAAAAACCATGACTTTCGTATATGGTCGCGGTGATAAACCGTAAACATATCAAAAACCAAGACTTTCGTATATGGTCGCGGTGACACCATTCTTTTCGTATAAGGTCGTGATGCGAAAGGGCAACTGTACTTAGTGCACTGTGTGGTAGCTCATTTACGAAAACACGTCTGCAGTGGCAAGGTACCAAAGAGCTGGTTGCAAACATCCGCGATGAGTCACATGGGGGTGCTTGCGCTTTCTAGAGAGTATGATGACGCGGTATAGGAGCCAGCAGGGGAGATCTGTGGAGAGAGCAAGAGCGTCCGCACCCTTCTGCATACCCTTCATCTCCGATGAAGTGAGCACCGCCATTCGGCGGTGTTTGAGGAGAGCAGGATTAGACAACTCAGGTTTCGGTAGTAGACATACCTCCGAACAATTTGAAACGTATCCTTGTTCGGAATCGTATGTATGACCGCAGTTGCCCTACTCCAAACTGCCCGATATGTCCAACAGCAAGGGAGGGAGACTGCATGAGTACGGGTGTTGTATACCTCATATCATGCAGGGATTGCGGAAACGAATACATCGGAGAAACGGCACGCCCTCTGAATACGTATTAAAGGCAGTGTCCAGGCTAAACTTAACCCCCTCCGATTAGTGTCGGTCCTGAATGTAGGCACCAGAAAAGGGGCATCTGCGTTGGTCCGGTCTTCTAACGTTGTCTCTGAATGGAGATAAGGGGCCTGAAATTCCCTGGCTGGGCGAAGTCTGATATCAGACTCCGCCCATCAGGGACTGCTCACTACCTTGTCAATACGTGCCTCCCGACACGTATTGACAAGGTAATGAGCAGAAGCTGCACACAGCACACTGCAATGCAACTGCATCCATGCAGTTGCAGCTCCTTCCCGCTGGCCTGCCGACGGGGACGAGCCATTTGAAACTCGTCCGCGCCCTCAAGACTGGGTCCTCAAGAATAGGGTTTTTTGTAAATTTTAGAGAGTTTGAAGTTCGGAACTGTAATCAGGGCCACGGAAAGGCCCCAGAATGACGAAAACATGGGGGGGGGGTAAAATCTGGGTGGACGCTGTCTTTAAGGAAGATCTTAATGGTAAACAGAGATTCCGCACATCCACTCCATTGGGCGCCCACAGAGTGCAAGATCATCAAGGAGTTGATTTTGGAGTGAAGTAGAGATTTTAGCGCGCGAAGCTCAAACATCCACTCGCAAAACCCTAGAAGCCTTTTGGATTCATTTTAGAAACCCTAAAATGAACCGCAAAGACGAGTGTCTCTCTATCACACGAGAACTCGCACCGTATCTTAATCAGATCTTTTGATCATGTGAAGACATGTTTCATTCTTTGCTCAAGCGGTCAGTAAGCACTCGCTCATACTATACCAGAACTTTACCGGCGAACGAAAGGTGAGTATCGCGTATGGCAGCCTGCTCGTGGTCAAAAGAAAGCTTAGAATTTTGCCTGTAGGGTTGCGCAGATGTTTGATCGGATAGTCTGTAAATTGTGTTCACCCACTTCAGACTCTGAAGAAGGCGAATTATTGCCGAAACGTTAGCCTAAATAAATAAGTTACCAATCTCGGTTGTGGCTAAACAGTCGAGTATTAACAGTACTCATCATGCCGAGATTTATAGAAAGTCGAACTTTCCGATATCTTCAAATTATTTTGCAAAAAAAACGAGATACAAATACAAATACAGATACAAAAAAAGAGAAACAGATACATTTTTACATAAGCATGATAACAAAAGTAGATATCATAACCCCTAAGACACTGTGTAGACCTTCGGTTTCACTAGATATCTAAATGAGCGTTTCGCAAGAGATCCTCGTGAAAATTTGTGCCTAAAATGAAGGCAAGTTAAATATTTTAGAAAACATACCAGTACCGATATCAGGCCTTTAACCCATTGACGACGACGCTTTTGCGGCGCAGTGGGACAACGCGATTTTGCACATCACTTTCGGTGTGGGAAGGTTCTGTGATTGTTTACGAAATGCAAGGCTGTTTTGTAAATTACAAGCATTTTCTTGAACGGCAGAGCCTACAGGCTCCAAGAGTGCAAAAGATTGGAAAAATATGACTAAATATAGATATGTGGAAAAAATGCTAGACCACATGATATGATTTTGCAAGAGATGTGGGCCACCGATGGCCCACATCGTCGTCAATGGGTTAACTAAATTACATACCGTAATCGTTTAGTATAGCTTCTACCAACAATGGCTTCGACTCTTTCACGATAGCGCATAGCAACTTCTATCACATTGAGCGGCTCAGTATTAGCAAGAGGTTCAACCGATAAATCAGTACTGAAAAATCCTTTAGTGAACGAAGAAATGAATAAGTTTTAAATACGATATAGGTCAAAAGCAAGATGGAGAGAGAAACTCATAATTCCACACCACTGAGCGGAAAAGAGTATTAAGAAATTTGTCGATGAGATATGACGATCTACCGATCAAGAGATCGCGTATCGACCGCGCGGGCTCCATGGGCTATCCCATGGACGCCGCCGCCACTCGCTTTTGAACCCCGCCGGAGGACGGTGAGGGGATATTTTTTGTTGTTTTTATTGTCTCGTGTGACTTTGTTTATTTTCGTGTTCTTACTGCGGTTAGACCGCAGTTTGCGTTGTTGCTGGTTCTTTTTGTTTATAAAAGTTTGTTTTTTTTACTGGTGCTTCTCTCATCGGTCTCGGCCGATCTTTATATCTATCACGCAAATTTACCACATGGGGGCCGAACCGGCCGTTTGAGAGTAGCACAGTAAAAACAAAGCAGCAACTGAGCCCAGAAAGGGGCGAAAGTCCAGAAGAGGGACTGAATTTCTACTGAACTTCTTCGCGTAACTGCCGTGAAGTCAACTGAAGTGAGAATTTCAAACATTTTTTTGCAGAAAAGGCAAAAAGCCGCATAAAGTGAAGAGCCGTAGTGCGATGCATGAGGAAATGGATACAAGCAAGCCTGAAAAGGTAAGCAGTGAAAAAGAAAGTGAGCTAATCAGCGAGATATCAGAACTTATCCATAGTATCCCTACTAAACTATCCGAAAGATTTGATGAGCATAGGGTAGCCTTCAAATATAGGGACGCGGTAGAAAAAGAAACCACCCAAATTGTGGAAGAAGCTTTGAGTAGCTTGAAGCTTCTGGAAACGAAAATTGAGAGCGAGAAAGAGGGTCAGAAGCAAATGATGGAAACACTATCGAAAAAGGGGGTGGAAACTTTTGCAGATTTAGATGATTTTCTCACAACTGCTGAGAGAGACAGTGATCTGCTAACAGATTTATGTGAGCTATTAAACACAAATGTCTTCCAGATCAAAGGGAAGGTAGAACAACTAAAAGCAGAAGCGTCGACTTCAACAAAAACCACAAATGAAAAGGAAAATGTCCCGCGTCAAGGTAGGAATGACTACGCAGAATGCGAATTTATGGAAAAAGAACCTATCATTCAGAAAGTGCATCATCCAATGCCCCAGAACAAGAGGACTGGTTTGCACTTCGAACAGCACTTGAGTCAGCATTCCCCGAGCTTGGAAGAAAGAGGAAAGCAGATGATGGAAGGTCAGACTTTCAAGGATTTTTTACAATCAGCAGCGTGTGTAGATCCAGGGCTGTATAGGGGTAGGGCGAGTGAAAATTTTGACGAGTTTGTTAGGAGATTTCGTAGAAAGTATGGTAAGGTAATTGGGGAGGATCAAGTCCTAAAGGAAATTTTGGTAGATGACCATTTGAGCGGTAGGGCCAAAAGTGTTTACTTAGCACTACCAACCCAAATCAAAAATTCATCTTTTGACGTGGTCATTGAAGAATTAGGTAGGGCGCTTGCCTGCGATTCGACAGCGGCTAGACTTCGGGCGTTAACAGAGCTAAGGAATTTGAAAAAGAGAGCAGGCCAAAGCGTAGCAGAATTCTGCGTCGTGCTAGAAAATCTGGGTCGTAAGGCAGATCCAGAGGGAAGCCTGGAGAGCAAATCAATGGAGTATGCTATGATTCTGTTGGAGAGCCTACAAGATTGGCCGGAACATCTCCAACTGATCAGCATGCTACATAAAACAAAACCAGCGCTAGCATACGAAAAAATTAAAGAACTCGCCATCAGCATCGAACAATCATTGGAGATGTATGAAAACGGTAGCCACCGACAAAAAGGGTGGAGAAGAAGGACCCAGGACTATGCAAGGATGGGAAGCTACCAGTCACCTTACCAGAAGAGGCACGCGGTAGAAGCTACTCCATCTAAACTGGAGGACGCCTCTAAGGCAGAGGACGCAAAGGAATACTCAGAAAGGCGAAGATGGGAGCTCCAAAGCAAGAGTCCCACAGACAACTGGAGCGCAAACGCTTTTAACCCGGAGAACCAGGGCAGAACGACTGACAGGCATTTCGACAAGGGGACAAATCGGGAGAAGAAAGTGTTGAAATGCTATAACTGCTTGAAGTATGGGCACTTAGCTCGAGAATGTCCAGAAAAGCAGTACAAAAGCGGACAGAATGTGACGCAAAACGAGAGAAAATCAAACTCGCTGTCATCGCTAATACACCAAGTGAAGACACTAGGTGTGAAACAGCAAAACGAAGGTGGAAAGACAGGGCTAGTAGGAAAACGTACCTTGTTAACAGCAAGTTTGTTAGGAATCAAGGTAGAAGCCTTGATAGACTCAGGGTCGATGATAAGCATCATCCCACTTAAAGTATTGGCTTCGGCGTATAAAAATGGCTACGACATAGATAGCCTGGAACGAATAAAAGAAGAGGATATGGACGTCGTTTACGATGCGTCCAACAACGTAATGAACTTCTTGGGTGGCGTAAGGATACCCACGACGATAACCGGAGGCCGAACTGCTGAGATAGCCTACTACATTTCACAAGAGGATAGTTTAGAACTTCTACTGGGTACCAACTCTTTGAAGAATGTAGGGATTACTATAGAAGTCACATCTGAAAAGAAGGAAGGTAAGCCACAGGCACAGGAGCGAAGAGCTGTGGTAAAAGTGGGAAAACGCGCTGTGATTCCACCGTATGGCGTCAAGCTGGTAGAAGCGAATTGCGAAGTTTCAGAAAATAAAGACAGCGTATTTTTGTCAACAAAGAAAGGAGTGACAAGTGGAGTATTCAGAATCACAAACCAAACCTTATCTATACCTGTCCACAACCATGACGAGACTCCGATAGTGTTGCGCAAGGATGACGAGCTTGGCGAACTCACAACTGAAGGTTGGGTGGAAAAATGGGAAGAATGCTCTATGCTGGACCATGACAGGGTGGAACTGAACCAAGAGGAAAAGAAGACTCTCCTCCGGGAACAGATTGGCCAGAACAGGAAGGAAAAAGAGGTTGACAGCGAACTGCAAGAAACCCTGGAAAGTTATAGCGACACGTTTGCAGTATGCGACAAAGAGTTGAGGCAAACTGACCTGATCAAGATGAAAATAGAGACAGGCGACCATGAACCGATCAAGTTGAAGACACGACCAGTTCCACTAGGAATTCGTGCGAAGCTACGAGAGATGTTAAAGGATTTGGAACAAAGAAGGGTGATCGAGAAAAGTACTTCCGACTGGGCATTCCCAATAGTGCTTGTGCAAAAGAAGGATGGGGGAATACGGCTATGCGTCGACTACCGGGAGCTAAATAAATGTGTTCGGCAGGACTCCTATCCCTTACCCACCATAGACGCGATACTACAAAGCCTGGCAGGAAAGAAATATTTCACCACTTTGGATTTATGCAGTGGTTATTGGCAAATTCCCTTAGATGAAAGCACAAAACATAAATCGGCTTTCACGACGCCGGAAGGCTTATTTCAATTCAGAGTAACCCCGTTTGGATTGAGCACAAGTCCCGCCACGTTTCAAAGATTGATGGATACTGTTCTAGAAGGGATGATAGGGCAAGAAGTATTCTGCTACATTGATGATATTATAATCTGCACAGAAACGAGAACAAGACATTTGGAGCTCCTCCGAGAAATTTGCGAACGCATGAGGAACGCAGGACTCATGCTGAACGCTCGAAAATGCGTTCTGCTGCAGAGCTCAGTGTCTTTTCTGGGACATGTCATCGATGCGGAAGGAGTACACATCGATAAAAGGAAGGTTGAAGCAGTCATGAATTATCCTATACCAACCGATGTAAAGGGATTGAGAAGCTTCCTAGGAATGGCATCTTTCTATAGAAAGTTCTGTTTGCATTTTTCGAAGATTGCAGCCCCCCTATTTGGACTAACATCCGCAAAAACAGAGTGGAAGTGGGGAGAAGAACAACAGGAAGCCTTTCAGAAACTGAAAATGATGATCTCGTCAGCGCCAGTATTAACGCAACCAAATATCGAAGAAGCGCGTAGTGGAAGAAGACCCTTTATTATATTCACGGACGCTTGTACAGCCGGTTTGGGGGCTGTCCTCTCGCAAGAGGGAGAGGACAAACAAATTCATCCAATATTCTTCGCATCAAAAACGCTTACAAAAGCAGAAAGAAGGTACCACATAACCGACCTCGAAGCACTCGGCGTAGTATTTGCAATTCGAAGGTTCCATATGTTCATTTACGGAATTCCGACAATTGTAAGGACCGATCATCAACCGCTAACGGCTTTGTTCAAAAGGAAAAACGTGTCATCACGAATATTGCGCTGGTCGCTTGAACTGCAGCGTTACAAGCTGCAGATTGAATATGTAAAGGGTAAGGCGAACATAGTGGCAGATGCATTAAGCAGGGGACCGACAAAGGGCGAAAATAGCGTCGAGGGGAGCCTGGTAGAACAGAACCCTGTAGTATGCACCACGCAAACCAGACAAAAGTCGGAATGGCTCAAAGAACTCGAAAGCGAAACAGAATGGGCCGAGTTAATAGGAAAGGTAGAAAGGGGGAACTTGGATGAAACAGTAAGATTGCCAGGGACAAGGGAAAATGTAAAGATAGCAGATTTCGTGCTGGACAATGGGTACCTCAAAATGTACAAGGAAGACGGCTCACTAGTGTATATAGTACCGAAAACGGCGCAATACAGTGTGTTTGAGGAAGCACATGCTGGAACACTAGCAGGCCACTTCAGCGCGCATAAAGTATTAAACAGATTAAGGAAGGAAGTATTCTGGCCGGAAATGGCCAAAGACATCAATAGGTGGACGTCAGTATGCCAAAAGTGCTTTCTTAGCAATCCCAAGGCCGCGATAGTACCCCCACTGAAACCCATCCAGACAACCAAACCTTATGAGGTTGTAGGCGTAGATTTGCTAGAGTTAGGAATGACTACTGCGGGGAACAGGTACGCAGTAACAGTAATTGACCATTTTTCAAAGTTCGCAGCAGCGTATGCGGTACCGGACAAGTCGGCAGAAACTGTAGCAAAAGTTTTGTTTCTAAGGTGGATCGCTGACGGCTGTAGATGGCCCAAAGCAATCCTATCAGATAAAGGCGCAGAATTTGAAAATAAAGTTATGCAGGAAATTGAAAAATTTTCAAAAATTGAACACATCTTCACTAAGGGCTATAACCCACGAGAAAATGGGATTACAGAAAGGCTTAATGGCACTATTGTAGCAATGTTAAGGAAAACAACGAAGGTCCCCACAGAATGGGACATGAGGCTACCATTTTGTATGCTAGCCTACAATATGACCCCCCATAGGTCGACGGGAGAAAGCCCGTTTTACGTTCTTCATGGGATGGACCCTACATTCCCGTCGAACATCATTCCACAGGGTAGCATATCGAAGTACGTAATGGAAGAAAGCATGGGAGACTACAAAATGGCAATTATGCAAGGTATAAATGAGGTACAAGAACGAATTTGCGCACACAACGAGAGAATGCGGCAATGTATGAAAAAGAACTATGACCATAATTTCAAAGTGGACACCGCTAAGCTTCCTAAGGTTGGAGAAAGAGTTTATGTGAGGGCCCCAGCAGAAAAAGGTAAAAGTTCCCACCCAAAATTGACTAATGATTGGGCTGGTCCATTTAGAGTACTGCAAGCTAGTGAAAATTCAGCGTTGCTAGCAAAAATAGGCGAAAATAGCGAACCAATAAGAATCCCCCACGATCAGCTGCGCGTACTACCTGAAAATTTCCCTGAGGAGCCTGTTAGTACAATTACTTTTAGAGGGAAAAGAGGGAGAAAGAAAGGCCAAGTAAATGTGCGAAAAATCACAAGTATTATTTTCAGAGGTGCGAAACTGACAAGTGAAAAAGAGCCAGGACATCTGATGTTTCACTGCCTTGATGACTGCCTACAGAGTACGAAACTTTCTGAGATCAGTGGAGTCACATTTCCTGGAGCCTTTGCGAACGAAGCAGTCGGCCGCATCTGGAAGGGCTGGATAGCCAGTAGCGTCTTCAAAAGAACGGACATAGACCTGGCGACAAAGATAAAGTACTTTCGAAGAGGAGTCATCTGCTTGGACGAAACTGCACTCAAGCCAGTTCTTAGATTGGCATATAACCGCTGTACTGAATGGACGGAATTCCTGTGCAGTACTCAAAGAATTCAAGCGCATGCCAAAATTGGAGGATTTGCAGTTCAAGCGATGTATGATGAGGCGTTACAGCAGCTCAAAAAGGAGCTCGCAGAAGAGAGCGCGGCAACTATGCAGCTGAAGAAGGGCCCAGTTGGATTCGCAGCCCCAGAAAGCGCCGCAATCATGGAGAAAGACGGTATGAAAAATGGAATCCAGGTGGCCGTAGTGATGAGCTTCGCAGAACTGAGGGAATTGCTCAACGAGTGGCGTAGTTTTGGTACTTGGGTCATAACGTGGCCAATTGATGAGAGATGGAGCCAAACGAACATGGAAGAAGTGTGCCGAGCAGTTTTTGAACAGTTTCGGGAAGGCGGACGTGTGATTACTGCCTGGACACCTTGCTGTGAAAGTAATTTTGATGAATGGAAAAACATGAGAAACACGTGGAAGACCCTGGACGAGACCATAAAACAGATGGCCAACAAAGGACAATTTTTCAGCACGTCCGGAGCAGTTACCTTCAATGGAAAGCTCTACGCAGAAATTGGATCGCCGGAGACGAGTTGGCAGTTCTATAGCAAGTACGCCGGAGTGGCAAACGCGAAGGTCTTATACGAAGCTATACGTCGAGCAGCGCCGGAAGCACGACTGCCACAGCTATGGATGCCGCCGAGGACGTCGTCATCGAGAAGGGGGGAGATGTCGATGAGATATGACGATCTACCGATCAAGAGATCGCGTATCGACCGCGCGGGCTCCATGGGCTATCCCATGGACGCCGCCGCCACTCGCTTTTGAACCCCGCCGGAGGACGGTGAGGGGATATTTTTTGTTGTTTTTATTGTCTCGTGTGACTTTGTTTATTTTCGTGTTCTTACTGCGGTTAGACCGCAGTTTGCGTTGTTGCTGGTTCTTTTTGTTTATAAAAGTTTGTTTTTTTTACTGGTGCTTCTCTCATCGGTCTCGACCGATCTTTATATCTATCACGCAAATTTACCACAAATTACAAATACAGGCTTAATTCCTCAAAAATAGAAAATTTAACGTGTATACCACATTCTTTCTCAACCATTGCGCCTTCGCAAAAAACTGACCTAGGATTGCATCTATCCTTTAGTAAATAATTTTCTTTTGCGATCTTCTCAAATGGCGCTTCTGCAGCTCTTTGACCAAAAAAGAATACTCTGAAACCAGGTTAACAGAGGTGTCTCACTCATCGCAAAAAAAAAAATAAACATCCAAACTTCCTCTTAAAAGCAGTGGCCTGGCAAATTCGCGACCTGGAGTTTTCCCGCTTACCTGCGGCAGTTCGACATGCTGAATCCGAAAATTCACCTTGTAGAGCGCAAAAATGGCAAAAAGCAGCAATTTCCTAAGCCCATCATTTTGATTCTGGACGAGTGAAACACTAGCAGGCATAGCTAGAGACCAGTGGCGTACCGAGGGGGGAGGGCGCGGGGGAGGGGGGGCGCGCCCCACCCCCTCCGAGAATAGGTCGCGAAATTTTTGAAAGTTACTTAAACGTAGTCTAAAAATGTGGAAAGGGCTTGTTTTTACTTGTTAATAAATAAAATAATTTTTAAAAATTTTTAAAAATTTAAATTAGCTTTGTAAAAAAAAATTTTTCGGGGGCGTGGCTGCCGCCACGCCCCCTTTTTCTGAAATTTTGGGGTCAGGGACTCGGAAAAATTTTGGGAAACATCCCAAAAAAATTTTCGGAGTGCGTGGCTGACGCCGTGCACCTTCATTAGAAAAAAATTCCCCCCCCCCCCCCGAGCCGAATCCTGGGTACGCCACTGCTAGAGACGTAGAGTCGTTGGGGGAACCTCATATTTATAACATGCGGCATGCCGCCTCTGACAGTGAGAGGGGTGTCGGAAGCTCGTCCGAGCACGTGTGTGGACGTCTTGCGCGTACGGGTTTAGAAGCGGTTTTCTAGGCAGGGGCAGCATGCCTTAAGCTCGGACCTGCTCTGTTTTCAAGTTTGGGGTACAGGCAACCTCCATATCAAATTTTTGAAATGTTTGGTTTTGCCGAGCCACTGTCTTTAACTGGAATTACCTCTCTGTTATTATACCCCATAGACGTAATAAGCCTTCCCGAGCAGCCATATCAACAGCAATTTCCAAAGTCTCACCAGCACCTTGAGATAAGAAGATAATGCTGCATGACCGCAACAGATCGAAAAACAGATACATACTCTGCCCAACAATTTCTGACTTGTCTTTGTAGATGCCCACTACATAGACTGGTTGGGCGCTTACCGTACCTGCTGAGCGCAAAAGTCTTGGTTCTATCTGAAACAACGATAACGCGAATTTCAAAGAGATAAAAACACAATACCTCCTTTGCTCCCTCCTTTGCCAAAAGATCAGTCAACACTGCAAGAGGTTCTCTGAGAGGGTATACGTCGGCAAAATTGATATCAATCAGCTGGGGTATGATGACGTCGATGACAAGGACTTTAGCTCGTTGCTCCCCAATAACAGCGAACAAGGCTCGAAACGCATCAGCAATCGACGTAGATGAGGGTGGTTGTTCAGCGGTGCGCACAAGTACGTCAACACCTGGGAACAGCATGACAATTAACATTAAAATTGAAGTAAAATTGTAATAAAGCTAGAAAAGGCGCCGCTTAAAGGCAGTAGGTCGGCAGAATGAGACCCATGGCAAAACAAGGTTACAGGGTAGGAGCCCCCATAATGGAACCTATGGACCAAAGACCGATCTTTGCCACTTCTAACCCCCGAAATCTCAAAGCGAAAGCAGCGCTCATCTCCTGTCCTCTCCGAACCCGCCCACCAGATGGACGAGTGAACGCGAAGCCCGTCATGGCGAAGACGCAGAGTCGTTGCGGGAGCTCATGCTTATAGCATTGCGGCTGGCGCTCTGATAGTGGAAGTCACTCGTCCATGGGGTGAGCGGGTTCGGAGAGGACAGGAGATGAGCGCTGCTTTCGCTTTGAAATTTCGGGGGTTAGAAGTGGCAGAGAAAGATCGAACTTTGGCCCATAGGTTCCATTATGGGGCTTCTACCCTATGACCTTGTTTTGCCATGGGTCTCATTCTGCCGACCTACTGCCTTTAAAAGAGAGGAGACTGAGTTAGTTACCTAAATGCCCCCCAATATTCGAAAGCTGCTCGTCTGATATCAACTGGTCAGCAACAGCTTGAACAAACTCCTCAGGTGCAAGAGGTAGATGAGATCGAAGATACGACAGTACCATATGTGATAAGGCGCCGCGGCCTGAATTTCATGCAAAATCAGAAAGAAAGAAAAAGCCTTTTAATGTGTCTAGCAATTCAAACACACATTACGAAGACCAACCCTTCGCTATAAGTTCCGAGTTGCTTTCTTCAACAACTTCAAAAGAATGACTTGGTGCTGACCCAGTAGCACCTTCTTCAACATCAGCACGTGTAAAAAATGATTCGCATGTCAGTGCCTAAAAATTCAAAACTTCTTGAACCTAGTTAAATCAATTCTCCAAAGTGACCACCTTGACAAGCTTATCTGGCTGTACTTCTGGGGCTCCAATTCGGTGTCCAAAAGCGTACACCTCTGAACCGTAATTCCTGTAAACAACTTAATTTACTCTAGTTTCCACTCTCTAGCCTATTTATACGCCGTTCTAGTTGCGCCCTAACTATAAAGAATCATGAAACCAAGGAAAGCATGAAATTTATTCAATAGGGCACGGATATGAGTAGCGCCAAAAGCTGCATGAGGAACACAACATAGGAAGCCCTGACTCATGTATAAGGTAGCAAAGTAGGAAAGGCACCGGTTAACAACATACTCCTGATGCAGCACTTATGTGGGTGATATGAAACTGAACAATAATGGTACCAGAGTAAAGAAAAGTTATAGATCAAACAATACGAGCCTATAAAGAGAAACCTACGAATCAGTGAAGGGACGAATAAGCTACATTCTGAACACACCAAACTTCGTTTCAGGTATGGGCTTTTGTAGCGCCGCCTGGAAAGCAAGTCCAACGACTTTGCGAGTATCACGTGGGTCAATGACGCCATCATCCCAAAGACGAGCTGACGCAAAATATGGATGGCCTTCTTTCTCGAATTTCTCCTCAACAGGTCTCCGAAGTGCCTCATCGTCCTCCTAGATAGAAAGTTTATATGAGAACATCTGATAAAAGATGAACTACTCCGAGATAGAAAAAAAGTGATGTCAAATGATTTCAGAAAATTTATGGCTGTGATACCTAAAGCAATAAGATATGAACGCCGATTTTTCAAAATCAACATCAGCTATTGTGGCAAACGCCAGAGAAATCAAAATAGGCCAAATTTACTACCTTTGTCCATACTGTTCCTTCTCGTTTGCGCTTATCTTGTTGTACGGTGCACAACACATTTGCTGCTTGTTCACCTCCCATCACGGAGATACGAGCATTCGGCCACGTGAACAGGAAGCGAGGGCTGTAGGCTCGTCCGCACATGCCATAGTTTCCGGCGCCATAGGAACCGCCGATGAGCACAGTGACTTTAGGCACAGCAGCACAAGCCACCGCCGTTACAAGCTTAGCTCCATGCTTTGCAATACCTCCGGCTTCAGCGTCGCGACCGACCTATACAAGAATATGTTGAAAACGCCAAGACTTGAAGAATCAGTTCATACCATAAATCCGGTGATATTCTGGAGAAAAAGCAGAGGGATTTTACGCTGGCAGCACAACTCGATGAAATGAGCTCCTTTCATTGCTGATTCGGAAAACAAAACTCCATTGTTAGCCAAGATACCAACTGACTGGCCGAAGATGTGAGCAAAGCCTGCATACATCGGCCTCATTCATAGGGACAAGCGGGAGAAACAACGCACCAGTGACAAGGGTTGCACCATAGCGTTCCTTGAACTCATCAAATCGAGAGCCGTCGACTACTCGAGCTATAACTTCACGAACGTCAAAAGTCTTCTTAAGATTAGCCCCAACGATACCGAACAGCTCTTCAGCAGAATATAGAGGTTCTTCGTCTGGAAAATGAGGCTTGCTATGCCGAAAAAGGAATGAATTCATAGACACTCAAAGATGAACTACCGAAATGTATTCACCCTAAATTACAAAAAGGGCCTCCCCGCAGAATCCGCCTGTATATATTCCGCTGCAGATAATACCGCTTCGGACTTATGAGACAAAATTTCAAGGTAGTTATTAGGGAAAAAGAGGACTTATCTGTAGGACGGACTTAACTAAAGACCGACTTATCTAGATCAAAAAAGCGGCTTCAGATGCAAGATTTTATAGTACGTGCGATAAACGACTTACATTGTTCAGTAAACCGCACGGACCCCTCTGGTTTCTCCATGCCTGCCACAGCGTTCCTAGCCAGATGCAAGGCATGTGCATCACTATGAGCGTAATAATCGGTGACGCCGGATTCAGAGCAATGCAAATCGGCACCTCCAAGTTCTTCGGCGGTAATCTGGGGTTTTTTTATCGAAGATAAGAAACAGTACTTTGACGACTATGCGTGAAACTCCCTAACCTCTTCACCAGTGGCTGCCTTGACCAGGGGCGGTCCTCCAAGAAACACTGTACCATTACCCTTGACAATGATGGCCTGGTCTGACATGGCAGGCACGTAAGCCCCACCAGCAGTGCAACTGCCCATCACCACAGCCAGCTGAGGGATACCTTGTGAGCTAAGCGTAGCCTGGAAGAACACAATTCAGCATAGTAGTGAACAAACAGATAAGCAGAGCAAACCTGATTGTGAAAAATCCTCCCAAAATGTTCCCTATCGGCAAAAATATCCGCTTGACGAGGTAGATTCGCACCACCAGAGTCAACAAGGTAGATACATGGTAACCCATTCTCTCTGCAATGTAGAATCAGTCACTCTCTCTCGAAAAATCGGCGAAAGAAAGTCCAAGTGTTGAAAGAACTGCACCTCATTTTACACAATCATTGATTTCCATTTGTTCCCTCCCCAAAATAGAAAAGTAAACAGCTTTTTCGTTGCTTTCATTCTCTGACAAATGTGACCAACTCCCAGCAAAATGATTTAATCAAATTTATCAAGATTCCCAGAACCCTAACCACTGAACAGCCAAAAGCGGTAAATAGCGTGAAACGGATTTTGAGGATGTGGATTTTAGAATACAACCTAAACTTTTTCCAACCAGCGCTGTTGCTCAAAAGACCTGGCTAGAACAAAAAAACCATTTTCAATTTTTTTCTTTTCTCCACCAATCACAGAGCCAATCTATATATCAGAATTGCTAAGTTGTTCAAACGGGAACTGACTTGAACTCATTACAATATGTGATTTCTTTTTAAATTCTCTCAGAAGTACATGGCACTAAAGATAGTCGGATGTTCCAAAAACAGACAGATTACGATTAGAATCAATAAGGTGGGTATGAGGTGTATGTCAAGAGGCGCGATTCTTATTGCCAGATGGGCAGCTTATAGTACATATTCAATGTTATATGCAGTTCTAGAATTACTTGAAATCTCAAAAGATATAATTTTGATAACTGCACGGGGTGCTCCATCTCATCATCCTGAAATCGATTCCAGACAAAATTGTTGAAGGTCAAAAACCATTGAAAATACAGTTGATAGCACATTTGTAAATAATCTGGTCAGTTTTCTAGCAAAAGTCATCAAACTTATCAAGTGGTTACTTCAAACAGCTGGTAAGCTATGGAATTTGTCCGGCACTTTTTGAACCCTCCCATAGCCCGAAACTGGAGCTTTAAGTTGGTGACAGCCAGAGAAACCGCGCCTCTTGACCGTCTCCAAGGGTATGGGGCGTAAACGCCAGCGTAACAACCCTTTACCTTATTGACTCTAACGACTCCGTTACGTATATTACGTTTCGACTGGAAGAACTGCCAAATGTAAGTTTATAATAAGACTAGAATAGTATTGCCTGCATCAATAAAGTGCGAATCAACGTTGTAACTATAGACAAGGAAATTCTAGAAAATCACCTCGCAATTTCTTGAGCTCTCAAGTGTTTCTTGACCGTGATGGGATAGTACGTTCCTCCTTTGACTGTCGCATCGTTTGCCACGATGATGCACACACGTCCAGCTATAGCGCCTATTCCTGTGATTATACCACCAGCGGGCACTTCTTCTTTTCCATAGGATTGGTATCCGGCCAATTGGCTCAGCTCAAGAAACGACGTCCCCGGATCGAGCAAGGCATTTATTCGCTCTCGAGCAAGCATTTTCGCTCGGCTTTTATGTAGAGCTCGAGCTTTTTCACCGCCTCCTTCAGCAATTTTCCTTATCTTTTCACGTAAATCGTCTACTAATTCTTTCATCTGACTGTAGTTCTGATGATACTCCTGCGAGCTGGAATCTACCGATGTTTCGATTGGACGCCATTTCTGAGCAACTCCTCCAAAACAGTGATGCGCACGTACACTGTAAGTGCCTATGAAACAGGCCAATTTATAAATATGTGAAGACGAGAACGAAGGCACAAACAAGATGCTGGGGAAGTGGCGCAACCAGAACGGAATTTTTTGGTATAAAATAAAGATACCAATTGGGATATGATGATCGGTGTACGAAGGGATCAGCGCCCAAAAGTTGCCTCCGATGGTACAGGTCCTTGTAGAAGCCACGTTCCCACCGTGCTCGTATGAATCTACCTGAAATCAACAATATAACGGCGTTACCTCCCTAAGAAATGAAAGAAGAAATCATGCGGATAAGCACTCCCTTCGCAGCCTGCTTTTCGTTAAGAAGTCAACCTTGGCAAATAAGACTGGTTATGCAACAAAATTCCGTATTTTTCACGATTCTCAGGACGATCTTTACCCTTGTGCAACAAATAAACCCGTTCACAGCTGTAATATGTTTGAATTGACGAAAGAATAACGAAAAAACTGTGTACATATGTACGAACTATGATCCAGAGCCGAAAAAAAATTCCACTTCTTATATCAGAGCGGCAGAGAACTTCGCTATTTACCTTCTTCTCAACGTGATATAAACTCGCTTCAAGCACGCTAGAGAAAAAATCAAATGATAAAAAAGAAACAAAGACATATCGTGCATCCTCCAGAATTGATCCCATATGAACCATCAACGTGGCTGCCTTTCGATCGTTATAACATATTAACTCCAGCAAATCTGAGGCGCTTATTCGAATTTGATTAAAATGATCGAGAGACAGCCACGTTGATGATTCATATGGGAACTATCCTGGGGGATGCACGATACAAACAAAATCCAAATCTGCCACTCACATGCTTGAACAGATGTTGTTCTTGATGTAAGCCGTTGGCTCACACATCCAAGCATATCGAGTACGAAACCGCCTGGAAGTTTACAATCATATCCTATTCTAACTATTTCTATATTTGAACAACAAGAAAGTTCGGCACAGCACGTGGTCACATTAGTAAAGAGGTCTCTTAGAACGAGTTCCAGAAAGAAAGAAAAACAACAAAACAACGTGGCTGCTTAACACAGCTAAAGAATTCGAGAAATCCATCATCATCATCATGGAGCGTGCGAATGGACTTCCGTCCAACGTGACGCCAAATGACATCAGCTTATAAGCTTATAGATACTAGTTAGGGTAGGGGAACGAGCTCCGCCAGTTTGAACCGCTCCGCGGACTACTGGTCCTGCCGACACGCAACAATATTACTACAACTAGTTGCAGCGAAGGCGGCTCAAACTGGCGGAGTTCGTTCCCCTACCTCTGCTGAAGACAATATTACTTCTTCAGCCATCGTCCGGCTGTCTTACAGTAACCCGACCTTGGCGTAAAATACGTTTACTGCACAAGTCACGCATTCGACGCCTTTTCCCTCCAAAAGCTGGCGTCTTTGGCTACTCGATCGGCAAACGTTAAGCTTCTGCGGTGATCCCTTTCAGCACGGAAAGGTGTAGAGTGCTTTGTAAGGAAATTTTTGATGTTCGGTCACTTTGCACGGCGAGATGATAGAATTTGTTTAAAAGTCAGATTGCCAACGCCTTTCGATCAGCTCTCCGAATGACTTATCTTGGAGCCTTTTCTGTATATTTTTTTGAACGCTTTAAACTTTATGACTTCCTTGTCGTACATTTACGGATATTCCATATGTACGCATGTGCATAATCTATGTGTGCGTAGAACTTTTTCACTATAAACTCCAGCTGACTTGGTATTTTGTTTTGGACTACCTTTTTGTTGAGGAGATGATACGACAAGTTTCAATGCTTTTGAAAGTTGCCGAATAATTTTTAGTCTTTCCTTTCTCCATATGATAAGAGCGATACATGTGAAGAAGAAACCATCGGATGAGAAAGGCAGATTACAGGATTATGAAAGTCAAACCGACATCGTTTTTGACTTAGGCGTCAAAAAATAAAAAGTGCGTAGTGTCCGCAGTGTAAAAAAGTGCGTAGTGTCCGCAGTGTACGGACTTTACATTCAATTTTACACCTAATATCAGAAAAATGGGAATTTCTTGTTTCTGACCGTCTTTTAGAATCGGCTATTTTATAGAAGCCAACAGGCATATGCTAAAACTGAGATTCAAAAAGTAACCCAAAGTGAAGTTCAGTAATCACAATGAACCAATCACGGCCAAATTTGGGATTTATATGTTTTCGAGGTCCTCCTTTTCAGTAACAGTGTTCTGTTTGCTGAAAGTTGGAAGTGAGATTTCAAATGCTAGAAGTGAGACTTCAAATGCTAGAAGTGAGATTTCAAAAAAAAGTTCCAGGTTGAAGTTCAGGAATATTAGTGGACCAATCACGGCCAGGGAAAAGTATTCCAAGTTGAAGTTCAGGAATTTTAGTGGACCAGTCATGGCCAGAAGTGGGATTTATACGTTTTCGATGTTGTTCTTTCTCTGCTATGTTCAATTTCAGCAAAATTCAAGGTGAAGGCTAGATAATGAGCTCATGCCAAAATCATAAATTCTTTTATTTCGATATTCGTGCACATAAAACACTTACGACATCACTGACCTCGCTGACAGGTGTTGTAGGCAACAAGACTGTAGATAAGTCTTGCTTGATAATGGATTTATGGATAATCATGAGGCATTCTCAGAAACAATAACAGTCAACTAGTTATGGCTACATGAGATACAGGTCACAGCCTTTGGTGCCTGCGGCATTTCGCCCGAAGAAAACCTTTATGAGGTCAGAATCGTGCGCGCGGGGAAGGGGAGACTGTACTACATGCACAACTGAGATCAAATGCAGGCACGATTCTAGTTTCAACACAACTAACTTAAAAAAACAGGCTCTCTAATTTTGACCGTTGGATTCTGACCTTCAAAATTTGTTTGTAACTCTTGTATCTTGATCTTTTGCGCAAAACAGACATTGTTATTAAAAGAAGGACCTCGAAAACATGTAAATTTCAAATCTGGCCGTGATTGGTTCATTGTGATTACTGAACTTCACTTTGGAGTACTTTTCAAAATCTCAGTTTTAGCATATGCTTGTTGGCTTCTATAAAATAGCCGATTCTAAAAGACGGTCAGAAACAAGAAATTCTTATTTTTCTGATATTAGGCGTCAAATTGAATGTAAAGTCCGTACACTGCGGATACTACACGCTTTTTATTTTTTGACGCCTAAGTCAAAAACGATGTCGGTTTGACTTTTATAATCCTGTCAGATAGTATCTTTCCTTAGAACACCAAAAAACGTTTCACTGTTTTCTTTCTTAAAATGATCAGAGAAATTCAGTATTCCTTTCACTCAGCAACATGGGTCTCAGCGAACCACTTTTTCAAACTTGCAAACTTGCTCAGTAGAAGAAAAAGCTTGAACCTACTGACATGACTGCAAAGATCACTAAGGAAGGATGCACACTGCACAATGGACATGTTTTTCATAAGTAATGTGAACAAGTGAAACTGATGCGTCATTGAGCAGGCATGATAGTTAACCTCCAAATAAAAACTCAAACAAATCGAAGGGTTCATCTTTTGGAGAAAGCCGAACTCTTCAAGCTAGTATCCAGTGTTCCTAAATAGGCAACATTGATTATACCTTACAAGAAACATTTTGAAAGTCTTTTGTGCGAAAAAGCAAAAACGCAGTAATCTTTGGCTATGGCTACTGTGTATAATGTCACACCAGTACATTATCATCATAACTTATAATAACGGGCTAAGGGTTGTTTACGTTTGTGTGTGTGTGTGTGTGTGTGTGTGTGTGTGTGTGTGTGTGTGTGTGTGTGTGTGTGTGTGTGTGTGTGTGTGTGTGTGTGTGTGTGTGTGTGTGTGTGTGTGTGTGTGTGTGTGTGTGTGTGTGTGTGTGTGTGTGTGTGTGTGTGTGTGTGTGTGTGTGTGTGTGTGTGTGTGTGTGTGTGTGTGTGTGTGTGTGTGTGTGTGTGTGTGTGTGTGTGTGTGTGTGTGTGTGTGTGTGTGTGTGTGTGTGTGTGTGTGTGTGTGTGTGTGTGTGTGTGTGTGTGTGTGTGTGTGTGTGTGTGTGTGTGTGTGTGTGTGTGTGTGTGTGTGTGTGTGTGTGTGTGTGTGTGTGTGTGTGTGTGTGTGTGTGTGTGTGTGTGTGTGTGTGTGTGTGTGTGTGTGTGTGTGTGTGTGTGTGTGTGTGTGTGTGTGTGTGTGTGTGTGTGTGTGTGTGTGTGTGTGTGTGTGTGTGTGTGTGTGTGTGTGTGTGTGTGTGTGTGTGTGTGTGTGTGTGTGTGTGTGTGTGTGTGTGTGTGTGTGTGTGTGTGTGTGTGTGTGTGTGTGTGTGTGTGTGTGTGTGTGTGTGTGTGTGTGTGTGTGTGTGTGTGTGTGTGTGTGTGTGTGTGTGTGTGTGTGTGTGTGTGTGTGTGTGTGTGTGTGTGTGTGTGTGTGTGTGTGTGTGTGTGTGTGTGTGTGTGTGTGTGTGTGTGTGTGTGTGTGTGTGTGTGTGTGTGTGTGTGTGTGTGTGTGTGTGTGTGTGTGTGTGTGTGTGTGTGTGTGTGTGTGTGTGTGTGTGTGTGTGTGTGTGTGTGTGTGTGTGTGTGTGAATCTCTGTCTGTCACGAAATTCGTAGAGCGTGTTCCAGCCAACGTCCTGAGCCCAAATTTTGCACAGCGCACGCTACCAGCATGAAAGCTCACTATGCGAAAGCATGAGCGGATCCGTTGAGTGGATCCATTGAAAATTGCGCGTCAAACGGATCCACTTGGCTTCTGGCCAGCAAATTTGGGTCCGTAGTACTACTTTTTGCAGAGTTAAGGATATATTTGACAAGCTATTGTGCAAGCCATGGACGTTAGCCTAAAAAAGTAATGAAAAGCCTACTACTTTACGAAGACAGCGCCAAAAAGCATTCGCTGTGTAAACGGTCAATTTTTGAAGACTTTACCTGATCATTTGAGAAGATTTTTGCACAGAGATGTAGCCCACTATGTTTATTGTCCTTACGGCGACTGTCAAGCCATAAAAATTCCAAAAACCTATTCGAATTTGCATCTGTTCTTCTGGGAAAGATTTTATCCACGCGAAAATACCGATCCCACATGGAAAACGTCTACGAATGAGTAGTTGTTTACGAATTATTCGTGATAGCCTACATAGCGCGGTGAGCTTCAATGTCATTATTATGCGGGAATGAGTAAGGCATACAGAAAATAGGGCCAGTGCGAGCCTCTGCGAAGCAGAGGTGACACACTGGTAATGTATAATGTCATATAAGTGGTGCCTGATCATTGCAACTGTTAAGGTTAGTCATGTCTGACATTGCTCTCTCACTAAGGGATCGTTCAGACCGCGCCGGTACCCGTCCAAACCCGCCCGAATACGTCTGAATCCGCCCAAATACGTCCAAACCCGCCCAAATACGTCCGAATACGCCCGAACCCGCCTGAACGCCGGAACTGCCAAAGCGCAGCGGCTATACGGCAAATTGACATATTGGAGCACGCATGGGATTGATCCTTGTGAAATCTGAGTAGTTGCAAAAGATCAGTATGTAACGTCGAGCTACGTGTGACTAAGTTATATGCACGAGGCACGCAGTATTCTGCGCGTGCTCCAATATGCCAATTTGCCGCATACCCGCTGCGCTTTGGCAGTTCCGGCGTTCGGGCGGGTTCGGGCGTATTCGGACGTATTTGGGCGGGTTTGGACGTATTCGGGCGGATTCGGACGTATTCGGGGGGTTTGGACGGGTACCGGCGCGGTCTGAACGATCCCAAAAAGAGCACGCATCTCTAAACGCTGACCAAATCTATACTGAATATCTGCTAAACGTGATTCAGAATGAATTTTAATCAAAGAAAAAGATTTCGATGTGATTCAAAAAGGAAACCTTAAGAAAACCTTACAATATAAAAACGCCCACCCTCATCAGCGTGCTTACTCTTGAAAAAGGTTC